AACTATCTAATTCTAACTACTATTGTCTACTCTCTAATCTAAGAGACTTCCTTACTAAACTAAGTAGATATTGGTATTGGCCTATTTAGAATTTAGCACTTTACCTTAAGATATTTAATTATCCTTGAGATAAACCTAACAAAGTAGTACATTTCCTATACATGTATTTATCTGCATGTTTCTATAACTTCTTCCTAATTAGTACATATTGACCTGCTATTCCATATTTGTATTTCATACTATCTTTTGGGTACTGCTATTCTACAGACATTTTTTAAGCACCAACCTTTCTAATTAGGTGCTCATTACATACTTTTTGCTCTTATTTGGTTTTTAGCAACTCCAGTATCTGCATTTAGACTGTCTTTTTACTCAGATTTTTTATTGGTCTTTTCCTTACTTCTAGCTAATAGCCTAAAAGGATCATTCTGCCAAAGCTTTAGATGCTTGAAAGATGTCTTCTCCTTGGTTTCTGCTTTCGAAGCATATATTCTTTTTCTCCAGTGTGACAACCTGGCAATTTGGCTAGTGTGTCCTTCATCATTAGGATCTAGTCATTTGGTTTTCTGATCTTAAGCCCTAGTTTGAATTCAGCTTTCCTGTAATACTATCATAGATTACTACTACCTCCAAACTCAGAACTTGCCAAATAGGTTTTTAGTTATTTCAGTTCCTCAGATTTATTGTGCCAAAGCTCTTATAACTAAATAGTGTAATCAAAATTACAGATTTGATTTTGAATTTAACTAATAATTGAAACTTCTACAGAGAGATCCCTAAAATTCTGGGTCAAACACTTTGGAACTCTTGCCAGAAGGGCTGGAGTTAATCAATTTTGCCCCAAGATCACTAAGAATTTTAGTAATAAAACAATAGTCATTTATTAAGTGAAAAGTGTCTAGCTGATAATTTTACTATAGCTCTTGCTAACTCTAACTCAACCCTAACTACAACGCATTCTGGCTATTCTGATCCAAAAATTTAGAAATCCCCCTATAAAAAATAATAATTGATAATAATACAGGCTATTTTTTAAATATCATCATCCATGGGATTTGAACTCTAGACCTGCTACTTGGAGAGGGTAATGACTAGACCACTACACTAAGTTACCACATCTCTTGTTTTAGGATCATATTTTTATAGGGTTTATTAATAATTTATTATTATTATTATTTTTTCAGTATTAAAGATGATCTCTTTGTCAACGGTGATTTATTATCATTAAGTTTTATTTCAGTATACAATGAAGTACATATAGCTATACGTACACCTTTTGAGTGCCTAATTTAAGTAGTCTGCCCGAAGGTTCTACACTATCTGCTGTACCTGCACCCCAACTAGAGGGTACCCATTTAAACCCTCTAATTATATCTTTATTTCCACTGTGTGGGACTTAAGACCCGGGTGTAATCTCACCATGCGCAAACCAGGGCGTTATAGATCTATGTGACACCACTAGATTAACAGCCAGACTTAGAATGAGACCGTATGTTCTGATTTATCCTTGAGATAAACCCGCCAGAGTGGTACATTCCCATATATGTATTCACCTAGACTTCAGCAACTTACGCCATGCCTTAATTCATGTACTTGAGGTCAGGGTGTAACCATTAAACCCTACCATTACCTACTCTACCCTTTTAAGGTTTACAAACTTCTGTACTACATTCCATCACTTTCCATATCTTACTTCTTTTGGTATTGTTATTCTCCCAATCCAGATGGCCCGGAAGGATTGGTCTGCCCAGATCCGAGTTTCCTAGGCTCAAGTCTGAAGGTCTCCCGATCCTTGGTCCACAATTTTATAACATGTGACCTTTTTTTCTGAATAACTCGGCAGCCTGGTTGGTAAATCCTTCTTGCCCTAAGATCTTTGTTACACAACTTCTCCAATTTTTGGAGTCTAGCTGGATCTGTCCTGTAGTATCAGGTAACACCTAGTTAGAACAGTCTGCTACTTTTTTAATCGGGATTTGCCAAGCTAGTTTCGGTTCTCTCAGGCTACTATAAGTAGGTCTTAATAAGATTGATCACAGACACCTTATTGTTTGCACTGCCTATACCGGTTTGCATTCCTTTGTACAATGACACAAATGCATCCATGTCTCCCAGCGCCAACTCGGGGCATTGGTGTGCTCTGGTTTACAGATGATATGAATCCAGCCCAATTTAGAATAAGCCATTACCATGATACAAATAAATTATTTGAAACGTTACTAGTGGGATTCGAACTCAGTACTATAGCCAACAAACTTGAGGGTGCGACAACTCCACCACTACACTACATCACCACACCCTACTGATAATTTATTATATAAAATTTTAAATACTAAAACACAACAATTCTAGAAAACCATATTGTTGACATTAGTTAAGATCTTAATTAAAGTTATTTTCTAAGTTCGAATGCATATAAAATTAAATTTTTATAAAAAATTACAAAATGTTCAAAAATGCATTGCTATATAAAAAGTATACAGTCAAACCTTCATAAATGCAACCTCCATAAATGCAATACCTCTCTAAATGCACATTCCTGGCCTGGCTGTAAGAAATCATTAGTGCTAAATGCACATTCTATATTCAAATGTATGTTTACTCAAAAGATTTTCTATATCATACTAACCTCCCTAAATGCCATAGCCAATCAGAATTCAGTATTCAAGTTGCATTACACAAGCCTGCAGATCAAATATTAAAAGCTGCAATTTGATTGGCTTTCTCTAAATACAAACCTCTCTAAATGCACAATTGAAGCTGGTCTGTATGCAGTGCACTTATGGAGGTTTGACTGTATTTGTTTTTTATTTATTTTTGTTTATAAAAATCTAAAATACCAAAAAAATTTTTGTCCCTCATCGAGGGGTGTTACTAATGAAAGCAAATAAAAAAATAAATAAAAAACAAATAAAAAACAAATAAAAAACAAATAAAAAACAAATAAAAAACAAATAAAAAACAAATAAAAAACAAATAAAAACAAATAAAAAACAAGTATGGGTTATCTGTCTCTTCCACTAAAATGCCTAATATACAACACTAATAATACAGACTTCAAAAGTATCGTATAAAAAACGCCTAAGCTACTGTCTACTACACATGCTATTATAGGGGTAGTTTTTGGTAGGTAGGGCAAAAAAAACCAGCATCCTTTTGGAAAAAACCCCATCACAACCAAACTTCTGTGACTGTCGTTCCAACAGGCCACTTTTGTTGCAAAAATCAAAAATAAATTGTGACTGTCGTCCTGACAGGCCACTTATTATAAACTCAAAAACTCAACCAAATGACTATTGTCTCGACAAACCATAAAAAACAAAATGACTGTCAACCTGACAAGCCATGATTTCCTTAAGCAATGATTATCATTCCAATAGAGTAAACCTCCAAAAAATGCTCGCTAGGAAGGGCAAGGGTGGGGCAAAAAAACCAGACAAAGTCAAGTTAGCAGAAAAAACAGAAATTACCTTTTCTGAAAAAAACCCCATTCCCCTTAAATACTACTAACGATTACTAATCTCAAATACTATATCATTATGTTATAAAATCAACGAAATCATACAATACATCAAGCAAAATCAAAATCATACGATCATACATCACAATCAATTACCCACATATCCGTAACCAATTTGAGACAAAATGCTGCTCCGATACTTTCATATCGGGCAGCTAATTATTGATATTTTCTAAAAATTTCAAATTATATACAAATCGTCATGATTATCAACTTTACTTACTATGCAAAAATGTTTTATATGTGGTTGATTATTAAAAAGCCAGTGACTTTTGTCAGGAGAGTGTACGTACTTGGTTTTCATATGAGTGCGTGAGAGTGAAAACCAGAAAATAAAATTTAACCAATCATAAATTTTATTTTCTGATTTTCACTCTCACGCACTTATATCATGGGAGTGATGCGGGCGTGCGGCTTTTTTATGTGATCTGTCATCTATATTATAATTAGTATATCGGATACATGTTTATTTGGCCAAAAGTGATTACTTTGCATAAAAAGTCACGAAGATCAATGAATATCAGAAATTCTTTAGTGTAACAGATTATTAGTAATTTTATTTAAAAAAATCATTTTTGAGGGTTTTTTTTTTACATAGTACTTTGTCAAGTTCCCTTCCGCACAGTTAAAAAATGCACTTCGTATTTTACACTTGTGTTTCGGTAGATGGGTAAACCCGAAAAACACTTTTAGTGTTGATTAGGTGTTGAGAAGCCATAAGAAACAAAGAAAATGTTTTATGTTTCTTAGGTGGATCGGGGGCAGGTGCCAGGACGCTGAAAAATACGTTAACACATATCTAGTAAGAAGAAACTGAAAAACATGTAAAAAATGTGTTCGTAGATAGACACTCTGGCGGATCTGAAAAAATATGCAAACACATATTTCGTAGGTGAGAAAGAGCGAATTCGAAGCTGACAAAAACATTTTTTCGTAGGCCTAGATAGTAGCTATGGGAATTTGTATTGTACTACTTTAAATAAATACACATAGCGCTTCGTCTATAAGGGTTAGTATTTAGAAAAAATCTGAATCATTTCAAAAAGGGACGAGACGAAGATTATTAAAAGACGGAATTGTTTCTTTTGAGAAAAAAGAAAATATATTGTATTGTACCATTATTTTATTTTTTTTTATAATAAAGACAACATAATGAAAAAGATAGTGACTAATACTGTATCCTATCGTAAATAAGCACTGATCGTGAATAAGCACCCCTTATAACAAAAATTATCGATCATGAATAAGCACCCCCGTGACTTAATTGTACAAATGCACATTCTAAAAAAAAAAATTTTAAACATAATGATAAGTTGAACTTTGAACTTATAACAAGATAATATTTTTTTTTTTGTTATTAATATTAATATACGCAAACTAACTATTATTTTACATTATTGAAAATAACAGGAAAATAAAACTTATAGCAGTAGCGGCAAATTTACAAGCATTTTAATAGCAATTATACGTAGCAAACAATTCAAATTAATGATATGGTTTCAATACCTTCTTCATTCTCATTTTCATTATTGAATATAACAACATGCTCATTATTATCTTTGCCTCTTCCAATTAATTCATTTTCTAAACTATCCAAGGCATTAGATATTCCACATCTTTTAAAAGACTTGACTATAATTTCTGGCAAGATATCATTCCATGCTTCCATAATCTAGTGGCATATTAAATCAGGCTCTGGCTTTTTCATATTTCCAGTTTTAGTAAATCTATGTTCTCTAACGGCATCCAAACTCTTTATTTATCACAAATTCTGTCTTTAAATGGCTTATTAATACTTATATCTAAAGGTTGTACAATAGATGTAAGTCCTCCAGGTATAATACTCAAAACAGTATTGGCCTTTTGAATTTCATTTTTTACTAATCAGTTACGTGTCCTTTAAATGAATTTAATACTAACAAAGATCTTCTTTGACTTTCAGCTCTTCGCAACCAAACTGTTTTTATCCAATCTATCATTAATTTCTCATTCATCCACCTATTACTCTGCATTCTGATAATTAATCCAGGTGGAAACTGACCTCTGGGCTTTCGTTTTCCTTTGAATATAACCATAGGTGGAAGCTTGGTACTATTTGCCAAAACTCCCAAAACACAGGTAAAATGATTTTTATCATTTGCTGTAGTACGCAAATTTACTAAATAAGCACCACGAAGGTCAAGTGTAAGAGCACCAACCATATCAAAAAAAATAGGAATTTCATCTAAATTAGCGATGCAGCTTAGGTCAAAATTATTGCTTCTTCGTGATTGATTAATATCTTCATAAAATGCTGAAGGTTTTTTTTGCAAATCTCTAGGAAGTTTTGAAGAAACTTTGGTAAGTCTGTGAAGAGAAAAGTTGAACCGATTCATGAAACGATTAAACCATGAATCTGAAGCTTGAAATCCACGCACATCAGGATAAATTTGACTAAATTCAGTAACAAGTAGACGTCTCATATGACTCTTGACATCAGAAGGTGTAACACCTATTCCTCTTTCACGCAAATTAATTATCTACTTTTTTAGTAATTCTTCGGCAAGTGGATACCATGATGAAAAACCTGATCCTACTCTGCAGTTTGTTTGTTTTGCTTTTTTTAAATCTTCTTTTTTTCGCCATCTACTAATCTGTGTATGGTCAACATTGAATTGCCATGCTGCCAAATGATTGCTTGTTTGTTTTGCATAGTTAATAGCATCAAGCTTTATATTTGCAGAATAACTTTTACGCTTCTCTTTCAGCATTTTTATAAAACATGGATATAATTTATACAGTTTGATAAATATTCTTGCTGATTTTATGCAATATTCATCAAAAACATAAAAAAAATTGTTGTCTTTTATATTTTTCTTTGACGATAACATCATAATTAGATAACAAATCATTAATTAATCAATTTATTTGACTCGAAATATATTAATACGTATACTGTTATAATTACAAACATTATTAATAATAAAATTGATTCGAATTTGATCGTTATTATTAGTTTTTGATCGTTATATTAGTTTTTGGCACAGATTTTTTACCATAATTGATTGGCAAAATATCACGTGAGATAAAATTTTAAATAGTGCAGATCCTATTGTGAATAAGCACCCGCTACTATGTTCAACCTGGGTGCTTATTCACGATAGGATATGGTAAACGTTACTTTATTTGAGTTAAAAATAGAAAATAGTTCTTAGGTAAATATAATTGCTTCTAATTACGGCATTGAAATATACATTGTTAAGTATCAATAATCTTGTTCTTGTTTAAGTGTCATTGAATATAACGTAATTACATGATTAAATCGTTATTGTATTATTTTTTGAATATAGATTACGTTAGTAAATTTTTAATTATATAGTCTATTTTTTTTCGGTTAGATTATAAATAAATTACATATTATTCATTTGAATGCATCATTACATACGAAATTCTACTTTTTGTATTCACTGAGCAATTTGTCCATTTAAAATTTTAAAAATCATCGCGTGTTGATATCGATATGTGATTTAGAGGTTTGAACCGGGTTTATTTTTATATGTTAAACCCGATTTTAATCGGTTACATATCTATACGCGATCCACATCAATCAATACACGAATCAAAAAATGTGCGTTATAGTCTCTAACTAATAACTATAACTACCGGTAATGATAACCAATAACCAATGAATTTTTACGTGTATTAATAAGTTAATTAAGTCAATTTATACATGACAAATTTGTATGAACAATTATATATCATTTTTAATGATTCTCTAAGTTTGCGGTTCAAAAAAAATATTAGTTAAAATAGAAGTGATGTCTTTTAATATTAACTTGGTTAAAAAGCTTTTACTTTCATACTTGGTCTGTTAAAAAACTATAAAGACTCGCTACTGATGTATTAATTATAATGTTCGTTGCTTATATTTTAAAACACGTATTCGAAAAAAGTTTTTTTTTTGACAATTGTTTATATATGGTATACTAGACTCTCCAAATAAAAACCGGGTTTTAAAATTGGTGGACCCAGATCTTGTATTCGGCAAATTACGGTAAATATATAAGATAAATGATAAATGTGATCACTTTCCTGAGCCAGTTCAATTAACCACGTGAAAATATACGTATTTACAATTTGAATTCACATTCATTTCTATAAAAATCGAAAAGCGCTAAAGTATTTTTGACGCGATTTTTTATAAGATAATTATATATATATGTATATGTATATTTTAATATTATGTTACACTTTTACATGCAAAAAAAAAAAAAAAATCGAATATGCCTAAAGTACACGACTAAAATGTCTACAGTACATAAAAAAAAAATTGTTTACAAAAAGAATCTAGAAAAAAAAGAATACTTTTTTTAATGTATAAATGTCTATATAAAATCTCTAAAGAGAGTTGTCTTCGAATCGCCAATGTTATTTGATAAAAAAGTTCATAGAATTGCTTTTTTTTTAAATCATATATGCATAAAAAATATATATTTTTTAAAAAAGTCTCTCTTGGCATATTCTAAACTTATACCCATACTTGTTATTGCTGTGCAGGTTCAGCTTCTAATGATAACGCCATTAAATCAGCTTCTAATTCACCACCATCGGACGTCGCCATCAGTGCTACATTACCACCAAATATCGCTCCTGCTGCTACATATAGACGTTTTTCTATTATATCACCTATACAATCCAATGATGACTTTGCAGATGATGCTATATTATTACTAAGAATGTTCATTGATGTTGATGTGGTGTGAGTTATAGTTATACTTGGTGTTGATAACGAAGGAGTATTCGTCAAAGATACAGTTGTATTATTAATAGTTGGCAGTCGTGATAATTGATTTTCAAAAGGATAACTTTTTGATGTGTATCTTTTAATATTATAAACATTCTTTATAAGTGATCTAAGTTTTTCAAAATTTATTAATTCAGATTTTGTATATTGTTCTTCTGAAAATGATGATGATGATATTGGGGAACTTGATGCCACTCCTTGTAGTAATTCATGAGATTCTTGGTTACATTCAATAGTTGGTGTTGTAGTTGCTGAAGGGTTTCGGAATTGTTTCTCTCGAAAATTGTTGTTAGGTAAAAAAGTTGGAGCACCTTGCATTATAATCGTTAAATCTTTGAGAGAAGATGCTAAATAAAATAAAAAATATGATCAATATATTTATCATAAAAATAAAATAAAATATATATAAAGAAAAAAAGTTTAATAAAAATTATACCAAGAAATGGTACTATAGGACCTTTAGCATTTTCTAACGCTGCTCTATAGTTTCGCATATTCCCTGATGAATCCATAAGCTCTTCAATACTTTGTAAAATTTCAATATCTTGATTTGACAATGACTCCCAAGTCTTTTCGAGCCGGCGTACCGGCTTCGAATTCAGGGTTAACGCGATAAACATTGATGTGTGAAAGTTATTAAATTCTCGGCAATACTATGTTTAAAAGGTGTTAATAATATAAAAGTTAAAATTAACATACATTTTATCGTATACAAACCTTGGCAGTATCGATGAATTTGTGGAGTAGTGCTTTTCTCGCTTCTACTGTTTTTAAGCTACATATTTCATGAGCTATCCAATGACTTAACTAAGAATTATTGTTAAGAATTTATTTATATAACAATTTAAATAATAAATTTTAAATAATATATTAAAATATTAATTACCATATTAGATCTCCTGGTAAAGGCATCCAGTTGACTTTCTATATGACTAAATTGTTGATCTTTGAGAGCCGCATTTGGACTTCCCTGAGATTCAAATGCTTGTCGCTTTCTCCACCAGACTGTAATAAAGTCAAAGAACGTTATAGATTTTAATGCATTAAAATCCATTAACGTAAGGTATTTTGCTATATTCTTTGCCTCAAATTCCAAAAGTGGTGAAGAGTCTTGCATAAGTGGTGTTGATTTTGGAAATTTTTGAAATGCTTTCTCAGTATTGTCGTTTGACATTGAACGATTAAAATAATGTTGTAGTGGCACAGCAGTCTTTTGAAGGTTTAACAATTGGCGTAGTAAAAAAACATTAATTTTTGATATCGATATAAAATAAATAAATTAATTGTTATACTAACATTACAATTCGAAAGTATCTGATCAATGTCCTCCTGAAATTCTGCGTTCATAACTTCTTCTGTCAAGAAATTTTGCAATTGGTGGCGTAATTTTGGATCAATTTGAAAATTCTCTGGTTGGAGTGTTACCCATCGATAAAGAACATTCAATACCCTTGTAAAAATAGGTATAAAATATATAATGAGTAAATTTACGTGATGCATTAACTACTGTAATTATAGGCTTACTTTTGTTGGGTAAATTTTAATTGATCCTCGTTTAATGTATTATCTTTAAACTTGACAATCATATTTTTCAATAAATCTTTCGATCTGATAAAGAACACGTGACTTAAAATAAAACAATCAACAAATTCGCTGTCTGCAATAAATAAAATAAAATAAAATAAATAAAATAATATAATAAAAACAAATAAAATAAATAAAAATTATTATATTTATATTATACATATATATAGCAATAAAAAAATTGAGAGCACCTTGTTCATTTTCGTCAATCAACATGGATAGCAATTTTTCAAGTGTTCCTGCAATAATATGTGTACTAATAATATAACATATATTAGTAAATTAGCTATTAAGTAAAGGATTACTTTTTTAAAACTAACCTTCCATCAACTACTTTTGTAACCAAAACGCCATCATTCTGCGAATCATTAATATCTGATAATTTATTAAAGTTTTTGTCGTCATATACTTGATCCGATTCCAGATCAATTGATCCATGCTATTAAACAAAATGAACATGTTAATAGACGACCCCTGTTGATTTTTTTTTTCACTCAATAATATTATAACTTTTCGTAATTGATACGTGCTTACATCATGAATGCGTGATAATATATTGGTCAACTTTAACATACTACTCAGACTGGACTTCTTTTTGACACTCAAACTAGTTGAACTTTTTTTAATATAAATGTTAGCAAATATATATATATATATCACATATATATTGTATATGTTAATTCATTTTAAAAACCTTTTTTTTGTTACGATCTTGCGAAGCAAACTTTCTCGTAGATTTCCCTCACAAATTTCAACAGAAGGAAATGGATTAATTTCTGTAGTTTCTTCACCAACATCCTCCACATGAGCTGATAAAGGAGGTGTTTGATCACGTTCCGCCCACATTTTACGTAAACTTCTCAAATCAGTGTCACTGCTAATTTTATGTAGCTTAGGGCGTTTACCGGATAAAGATGGAGCTCTGAAAAAACGATTGGAACTTTTGTTCGTTGAAGATTCAGAGACTAAAGGATCCTCAGTTACTGGCCAATAACTCGTAGTTCGAGCGATATTCTCGGAAACTTTACCTTTACGAGAAGGTAGATGAATATGTTTAAGAAAATAAGATTTTATGCTTGAATTTGAAACACGGCGAGGTCTTGGAGAATTTTCTCTTTCAGAATCTGTCAAATTTTCTTTGCTTTTGCGTCTGTTTCCTATAGATAAAGAAGATTTTGTTGAAATCTTGTTCGAAGGAGTATAGAGAGAATGAGTTGATATAGGTGATAAAGGAGGGGAACTTGACAGACGACTACTATTGGTCATGAATCTAGATATAAATGATTGGGTTCTAATACGATGTCTTGTATTTTGATCAATGTTATATCCTAAAGATATTTTAGACGGAGATTCATCCAGCATTTCTTTAAATTTAGAGCCTTTACTCGAATTAGATAATGAAGGTGATACTGGTTCATTAATAAAGTGTAAATAGCTATCGCGATTTCGATAATTCAATGAGATGCTATGGTTACTATTCAGAGTATTTGGAGTGTTTGGAGTATTTAGAGTATTTGGAGTATTTGGAGTATTTAGGGGAGAATCAAAAGGCAAGAGACCATTTCTAGATGAAGTGTCAATAGAAAGTTCCATATTCTTGCGATTAAGACGATTATTTGACTGTGGAGATATATGGTTGTGAAAATTAGATTTGTGCAAGGAACTTTCTGAGAACATAATTTTTCTTTCTTTGGTATACATTATCGGCGCAGTAGCCGCGGAAGCAGTGGATAAGTCAGAATCATTACTTTCATTTCGCTACGTAACAAATATGACAAAAATGTCATGTTCATAAATAAGTGGATATATATAATCACACATGTCAGAAATAAAAAAAGTCTTTTTTTTTTTTACCGATCGCCAAAGAGGGGCTGAAAAGCCGGCATTTAAAGGAGACTGCCCTCCTTCAGATAATATACTGTTGTGCCCACTTAAACGATCCGAACTATCAGCCGTCATGTTCAGGTCACTTAATGATTGCTTTGCATCTGAACGTCGCCTGAACGTCCCGAGGCTCCGCATTATCTTTTTCTTAACTATATTAGATTTAATCCATAAGGTATATCGATATAGTAATTAAATTAAAAATATTTTACAAAGAACTCACATGTATTCTTCTTTCTAATAAAAATATGTATAAACGGAATATTAATAACCAATATATATATAACATGTAATGAAGTTAATCAAAATATTGTACCTTTTATATTTTCGTTCTTCAGTTACCAATGACTCTTTTGATTGTGCATTCACCGAAGTTGAATTCAATTCTGATGCTATTTTTACAACTATATTTAGCATGAATTCTAACCACTTTTTAAAAAATGGGTTCATGTCATTTGCCCGACAACAATTTGTCCGACAATCATTTCCCAACAATATTTTGAAAATATTATTGGGAAAATAGTTGTCGGGCAAATGACATGAAACCTTCTAAAAATATTGGAAACATTAACAAAACTTACACTCTTCATAAGTTTGTGGAAGATGAAGATGAACAAAATTTACAAATAGGTCTAATGATTCCACCAAATTATTTGCATGAGATACTAATTCGTTATAAACGGTCTGTCAAAGAATCATCAAAAATAATAAAAAAAAATATTCAAAATACAAAATCACAATGCCCAATATCAAAAAGAAAGGTTATCACCTGACCATATTCTACCAAGATATCTGTTTTCCCTTGGGTGGTAATTCTCTTTATCTGCTTTGCTAGTTCTTTTGCCTCCTTAGACACACGTGCACATAGCAGACGAAAATTATCCAAGGTTGTAGAATCGGTAAATGAATTCATTAAAACATCATTATGATGAGATAATATAGAACCAATTGTTTTAGTCAAGAGGCTAGAAGCACTCAAAACTTTTACTAACGAGGAATGCTTTGAAGAAGTTTCAGATAATTCAGAATGAAGAGTTGAAATAGAAGAATGCGAAAGACGGGCATAATAACGAGAATGCAGAGGTTGATCAGAACGATCATTATAATGACATTCCACATTTTCATGTATTACAGAAAGGGCCTCTTCTTGGATTATTGAAGAGGAAGGACGTGATGATAAATAATCCTCGGCGTCATAAAAGCCAACATGATCATCGTCATCATCATTCGATTGAGAATCAGGTGCATTGACCAACAATAAAGTAGGAGCCAATATTAATATAGACATCAAGGCAGACTCTAACGTTACGAACGGACACTATAATTACGACATGTAATCAGCAAACGAGATATAACGAAATCACGTGAGAGAAGACAGATTAAGAAAATGAAATAAGCATACCTGACATTCACCATTCGGCAATTTATCATAAAATAAGTCAGAATTTTCAGCACGCTGTAAATTTCGAAGCCTATCCAAAACTAATTTAACATCTTCTGGCAGTTGAAGATAAAGCAACTCACTCGCATCACGTAATTCGCTATAAATATCAGTTAAATTCGAACGCGTACCGCAACTATAGACAGCGCAAGCAGAATTTTGAACATTTGAGGAAGAAACCATATGGTTATCATTAGTTAAAGAGTTATGTGAAGATGCGACAGTATTTTGAGAGTTAACGATTTTTGAGGAAGACCGAGAATCATTAATGATAAGATTTCCCAACTTTTTAACGTTTCTCCAAGCCATAATTATTATTATTAAATAATATAAAAAAAAAAAAGTTCTTTATGGAGAAAAAAAATAAAGAAATTCAAATTCTCAAAAAGTTTTACAATAAGTAATTTTGAGAAGATTATATTTGAATTCTGTCGTGCCGCAGGAAAATGTTTAATGAAAAAACGTGGCAATTTTACGATATATTAAAATAGATGAAATGCACTTTTTTGTTTCGATTCTTTTTTTTTTTAAGTCAAAAATATCGATAAAAGAAACATGATAAAGAATATCGATAAAGAATATCAGAATATATTTAAATATAAATAAATAAAAATATATATGTATTATATATATATATTATTTATGTATATTATATATATGTAGAATTAATGGGAGTGCAGCAACTAATATATGTATAAAGGAAGAGATAAAGAGAGTGATGGTACGTATGATGGATGAAAAAGAATGGTGGATGGAATGAACAAAAAAATATGAAACTTTAGCGTGATTTTATGTAAAATTTGCATAATTAAAAGAACGAAATCATGAGTTTATCTAAAAAACCGTAAACGAAAAATCAAGATTTTTTTTTTTTTTTTCGCGCCTTCAGCTTTACGATGAGTATTATATATAAAGATATATATAGTACATATGGTATATATGGTATATATAGTATTCAAGAGCAAGTCACTTAATATGAACACAGTTTAGAGGAAAAGATTCAAGAATATTAATATATCAAGGAGGAGACAAGAAAGAAAGAAAAGAGGAAAAAAACGGAAAAGGGGAAAAAAAGAAGTTGTGGATCAAAAGAGGCGGTAAAGGAGTTTTATAAAGTATTATAGGAGGTAAATGCAAAAATTACATGAAGACCCACACACATCAATGTTCAATTGATGAAAAAAAACAAATCACACTAATAAAATGATACATATAATAGAATAGGGACCAAATCCAAAGATTCAGCACGATCAGTGGTCGCTAAAAAGAAGTTTATAGAAGCAGCAGAAAGCCCGCATGTGTTTGCGTAAGTGTCAGGACAAATCAAGCAATAAATAAATCCCTATTACCTAGAGCGGAGTCTAAAATTTGGATATAGTCCATTGTTTTCGGCGATCAATTGATCAATTCAAAATTGATTTTTCCACTCTTCGGTGCACCAACCAATTCATCGTCCTCACCTTATACAAACCAATAAAGCATACAAGAACATCAAATATGGCCATATATAATATTAGAAGAATGATTTGAACTTCCACTTGGATAATTTACTTACCGATAAGGCGAAAGTAATTACTTAATCTCAATTCGCAAGAATGAGCTCTTACTAGTTCTCATTCCCCCGTGACGCGTTGTCTCCTTGGCCCTTCATAAAGGAAATTAACGGCTGTCCCTGCATAATAATGGTTGTCTGTTCGAAAAAGGATATATTATATATTTCTTCTGTTTAATTGATAGAAACCAGCACATTGTATTGGCGATTAATGATAGGAGGTGTTTGATGTCAAGGATATAATGATCAATGATGACATTTTTGCGTACTGGACTTTGCATTCGATCGCCTTCTTTATATAGCTTGCCTGACTCATGTTTTCGCAATTCTATCATGTATCTTCATTGATTACTTCAAGGTTAAACCTTATTTACGTATCTGAGACAGCTCATCTCTGCTCATATACAATTATGTCTCTTTCACCATTGTGTTAAATGGTACTTTTGAAAGCATATACCGTAATTAAGTCACGTGACGTGTCAAAAGCCTCTAATTATAATTCATTGCTATTTATGCGACAATTTAAATTCTTGCTGAATTTGAAAGAGAATTTCATATGATGCTACTCCTTAAATTCTTTATCAAAGTGATCACTAAGTACTTTACCAGATTTAGTTTATTTTGTACATGCTGAGGCTTGCGTTGTAAAAAGATTAATATTCCGTTTTAATTTTTAATTTGGTTCTTGTAAACCAGTTCACTCGGGTACGAATTTTTAAATTTTAAAATGTCTATAATGACAACATTCATTAAAATTAGTACAATTATTTTTAAAGCATTGCGACTTTAATGAGATAGATATCATTTATTACCGACTTTTGGGCTAAAACGTTACACTATAATATAAATATATTATTTTTTTAAAATAACATATTAAAAATTATATACTGTAGAGTGAATTGATTTTTGGTTATTAATAATTACATATTATTTCTCAAAAATATATTTATTGAAGGTTAGCAAAGATTCAATACTTCTTTTTTGTTAATTATTCCGAAATCTTATTTATATTACCGATGTAAAATTTTATGCTATTTAGAAAATAACATAAATAACATTGTATATAACAAATCGTTATTTAAGTTTTACAGAAATTTTTAAATTATTTATATAATCTTTGTAGTAATAATTTATTTTTTGAGTTATCTAATAAAGTAAGTATATATAAAAATATATTTATATTATAATATTTTTTATAATTAATATTTAGAAATCAAACTTATTAAAAACTATATATATTAATTACATATTAATTGTTTTTATTTTTACTTTAAGAGTAGGGTGTATGTGGATTATTTTTCATATAATCTACATGGTATATTAGATTTTATATAGTAAATCAAAAAATACTTTTAATAAAATTTTTTAATATCTTAATATATATCAAATTTATAAAATATGTAGTTTAAATTAATTTGTTTATAATAGTGAAGTTATACAATATGCATTATTTTAAAAAGTTAACTTTATATATAGTTAAAATTTTCTAGATTACTATATATATATAGTGCATAACAAAAGTTTCTTCGCATCTATATATGGGGTTCCAAAAAGTAGAAACCAGAGAATTTTGCCAATTACTAGTTTTGAGAAAACTGGTAAAAACTATTTTGTTATACAAAATCAAACCAATTTAAAAATAGTTTATTTAATATTAACAAACCTGTTTATACAAGATTATTAAATATGTAAATCTCTATCATACTAATATCTGCACTAGTAAATCTATTTTTGGATGTTCTATAGAATAGGTGAGCAGACTCTGAAAACTCAGCAACTTCACTAAATATTCATTAATGATTACTAATTAGTAGCAGAGTTTATTTTTTATATTGCCCACCTATACTATAGAACATCCCTATTTTTAAATTATAGTATCAAAAGCTTTTAACTATTGTAATGCAAAAAATTTATTAAGTGATTAGACTTTTATTATTAAGTAAAAAAGATTGGGCTTTAAATTTTGCACCTAATCAATCAAATAGGTTAATTTTTAAAAAATTGTTAAATTTTTTAATTTTTATTTTTAATAGCCTATATCTTTATAGAGAGGTGCTATAACTTTAAAATTTTTAAAAAGTTAGTATATATATAAATCAAATTGTATATTTTTTTTAATGATTTTTTAATTACTAGAAAAATTTTAGATAAAAGCTAAACTTGGAATATTTTTTATTCAAAAAAATAAAAAAATTAATTAAATTCAAAAAAAAATTAATATAGTCATACTTTTTTATAATCATACTTTTGGGACTATAAAAACTTTTTTAAAAAAATGTTCTTGTAAAGAGGTGTGCTTATATAGAAATCTTTTGTTATATATTAGATAGTAATTGGGCGAAGATATAGTTGTAATTATAAAAAGGTTTTTATATGATGTGATTATATAAGAGGTGATTATAAAGAGATATGACTATATATAGAAATAAGTCACAGCTAGTAAACAATATCTAACCCAATTATAATTTAAGATTTTAACTAATTTTCACCTATGGTAATATCACCTGGTATTATAAAATTTTTATTAAAATAAATTTACATGTAGTTATGATTAGGATTAGGCATAAGCGAAAGTTAGGTTAGGGTTTGAGTAAAAGAATTTATATATATAAAATTCAAAGCTGAAAACTTTTGCTTAGAAGTTAAAATGTAGTTTTTATAATAAAATTTAGAGTTATTAAAATTTTTTTAAATTTTTCTTTTCTTCACTTTGTTTTGGTTACACAAGATCTAGTAATCTAATTAGTTTTTATGCAACTAGGTAATATCACCTAGGGTGAAAGTTAGCAATACTTATAATTTAATTAGCTGTTTTAGAAAATTGAAAATCACAAAATTGAGTTGATAAAAATCAAGCAAATCTATTAGATATATTGGTTTGATTTCTGTTAACTTAGATATACTATATAAAAATAATCTATATATAATATGCAGTTAAGTATAAACACTATAAGATAAACACTATAAGACAAAAATTGTATCTGATTGGCTGCTAACCATATGGATCTATATCACATATCAAATGCTTCAATTTATATAATTACTGTTATTGTATGCATCTTATGTAACAACCTGTGTTTATTTCATTTATATAATATATTAGATAACTAATAGGCAATTCTTCGCATACAAGCCTTAGCCTGATCAGTTCTACCTCTTTTTCACTTATAAATAAAATAAACTTTTTTTTTACTTACAATTAATATAACCTTCTGCAAATGGAAAATGTGTACCAGGTTAATACTTCAGAGGTTCAATTTTTATGATTATTATATTTTATATTAATATATATATATATTATAGTATGCAATTATTTAATTAAATAGTCTTTCTATATTGATGTAAATAATATAAATAACAAAGATATTTTTATGCAATTTTAAAAATGTAAAATATGTTACAAGTTTGTATTAAACAAGAACAAATAAATTAAAAAATTTAATATTTATATAATAAATATAAAATTTAGAACTCGAAATTATTCAAGATACCTATTTCTCAAATTTTATTATAGGTATATTCAAAATTTTACTTTAATTAGCTACACTTAATAATAAATAAAAATATATATATTTAGGACTTTAACAAATTGTTAGATTTATCTATTTCACTTCAATGAATACTTTTATCAATTTATAAAAAGTTATAGTGAATTAGAATCTATTATTATTGCAAAAAATATAATAATTAGATAGCTTATAGTTGACTTATTTATAACAAAGAAAGTACTTTAAAGTGGTTTAATGAATTTTAAGAA